TTCCACAATGTGAACGCTCAGTGTAGATCGCACAATAAAATAAAAAGAGAGTTCAAAAATAAAATATTTATTGCAGAGGTTGGTTTGTGGGAATAAAACATCTTTTTTTTCCTTTAACTTTTTAGTCTGTATTCAAAGAACAAAAAAAAAGTATTCACACACAAACACATGAACTTCACAAAGTACAATGACATAAAATATTAAATGCATAGAGGAACCAGGGCTTTGGGATGAAATTGAGAATTTACAAAAAAAATAAATAAAGGACCTGATTTTGTGATTTGTGTATAATACAGAAGTGGATCAAACAAGAAAGGAAAGCGGGAAGTAGGCAAACTGTTGCATAATGATGGGACCACTAGCACGGTGAAGTCCTAAGCTAACATCTGACGCATCGTATGTACTACAGTGTTCGTGACAACTCAATCCACGCTGTGCACAACGCCCGCATTTAACCGCAACGAGACGCTCACTTAGTACATATGGAGTGAGAAGGAAAGCAGAAACAAAACAGAAAACGGCTTCTCATTTATTATTGATAATTTTTTTGTTGCTGCTGGGAAGAATGAGGAAAAAAAAAGAGCCCAGTTTATCCTCTGTTTCTGAAAGTTAATTGCGCTGCAGTCAACTTACCAGTTGCTTCTGAGGATTCTGGGTGAAAGCAAAGAGTACCGTCATAACACAGTATACTTATACTGGGGATAGAGAAGAAGGGGTGCTACGAGCAATGTCAGTAACCACAGTGAAGGACTTGTGTTATTGCAATGTAAAAGAAGAGAGTGTGACTTGTAGTACACGAGTAGGGGGAAGAGTCAGCTGACAATACCTAGTAAAGGAAAACCAGTTCCTCCAGGTACCATGATCCACAGAAAGTCCTCTTCTACCTGATGTCACCCCGAACTTCAAGGTGGAGGAATGAAGGAGGAAGTTGATGGCTTCTTGTGCTGATTGACTGCAAGTCCTCCAAAGTTCTCAATAAAGATCCCTGCTCTTTTTTTTATTTTTTACTTATATATCTACTAAAAGTCAAGGGTCTGCCCAGCCCCCTACGATTAATGAACGGCAGAGTATTTCATCCTTTTCTGTTTTTGCCTCTGATTACAAAACCAGACCCGAACCACGTTCTTTTTAAGGTCCAGTTTCTCGGCAATGGCTGCTATTTTCTCTGAGGAAGGTCTGGGCTGGATGGAGAAGTAAGCTTCCAGCGAGCGCTTCTCTGGCGCAGCGATGGACGTGCGTTTGCGCTTTCGTTCGCTGCCGTTGAACAGCTCCGGCTTGGCGTTCTTCTCCCGGTAAGCAGCCTCGGCTTCTTCCAGCCAAGCCTGGAGGACGGGTTTGAGGGCTATCATGTTGTTGTGGGACAGAGTTAAGGACTCAAACCTGCAGATGGTGCTCTGGCTTAGAGAACCCACGCCTGGGATCTTGAGGTTGGCCAAGGCTGAGCCAACATCTGCTTGGGTGACTCCAAGTTTTATCCTCCTCTGCTTGAACCTCTCCGCAAACGCCTCCAGCTCTCTGGGATCCGACTCCATGTCGTTGATGCAGGACATGCCATTGTGAGAAGAGATAGAGTGGGGATGACCCATGCCCATTGACTGGTGCAGGTGTCCCATGGCACCCAGATGATGTTGATGGATCTGAGAAGACATCACTGAGTGGTCAGTTGCCCCCATGCCACTGACAGTCAAAGTGGGAGATATGTGGTCTAGAAGGTCCCCTTCCAAGCATTGGTGCACTGAGTGGTGAGGGTGGCTGGTCAAGGATGAAGGGTGGGAGATGGGCACTGTAGAAGAGGTAGATGTACATGGGACACTGCTCATGGTATGGTAGGTCACGTCTGGTTTGAAAGGATGGTTCTTGCCGTGTGAGACAATATCCACAGCCGCCAAAGCTTCAGCACGGGCCAGCAGACTCTCATCAAAGCCTCCAAATATATTGCCCTGGAGCTGCAAGCAAGAATGCGCATATTGGTGTCAGTGGGGAATACTGTCAACTCAGGATTAAAAAACATTTTCAAGCACACAGATTCCTCCTCAAAGCTCAGGTCATAAAAATTAATATGAAGGCAGAAGCTTTGCTTGGATAGACATGTGGAGCTCAGACAAGAGAGGGGGAGAGGTACTGAGGGAGAAAGAAAGAGAGGGAGAGAGAGAGAGAACGAGAGAGAGGTTCAGAGATAGACAATAGTTCTGATGACATGAAAAAAACATTAAGCAAGTGCCTGTCAAAAAATGTGCCTTAAAGCACTTCATTCTGCTTGATCTCCATACCTGAGGGGCTTGAAGGCAGACCCTGCGCATAGCCTCTGAGCTGGAGTGCAGGCTGGAATACTTGGGCTCCTGGAGGATGGGGTGCATGCTGAACGGCTGCTTACTGTTCATGGTCATCATTCTGGCTCACCTGGCAGGTAGGCAAGCCTTGAAATAGAGTCAGTCTCAGGGTCTCTGTGGCTTGCTCCTGTTAAAGTGAGCTATTTTCAAAGGCAGAGATGCTCTCTAGCTCTCTTCCCTCTCCCCACCTGCTTCTTCACTCATCTTACAGCCAAGCATGCCAAGAATAGGTCCAGGCATAGTGCGCAGGCGTGCTGCAATTTAGGAAGCCACGCAGCGCCAGTAAGTGGCCCGCGGAAGGAGAGGAGCCCCGTCACGTGTTCCGGTCCAGAGAAGAGGGGAGCTCAGCAATGACATGTGTCACTCTGCGCAGGATAACCGGCTGCCATTCCTACCCACGGCTCCAGTGTGTGTGAGTGTGTATGCAGAGCTGCATCTGAAAATCCTCTCATCTTATATGTAATCATGACTCTGATACTAGAAGAGAAATAAACAAAAGTACATAGTTTATGTGTAGGCTCCTAAAAGACCTTGGGCACCTAGGCTAAAATGTTAAAGATAAAGTTCACCTTTTGGAAAAAAATAAATAAATAAATGCACACTTCTTCATAAAAGATAAGATGTGCATAATAACTGTGATCAGTGGATTGTGGGTGCAATGCTCTGGCTCCTGCAGATTCTTTTTCCTGTCCCTGTCCATAATAAAAGATAAAACGTGCATAATAACTGTGATCAGTGGGATGTGGGTGCAATGCTCTGGCTCCTGCAGATTCTTTTTCCCTGTCCTTGCCCATAATAAAAGATAAGATGTGCATAATAACTGTGATCAGTGGGATGTGGGTGCAATGCTCTGGCTCCTGCAGATTCCTTTTCCCCGTCCCTGTCCATGATAAAAGATAAAATGTGCATATACTGTAATCAGTGGGATGTGGGTGCAATGCTCTGACTCCTGCAGATTCTTTTTCCCCGTCCCTGTCCATGATAAAAGATAAAATGTGCATATACTGTAATCAGTGGATTGTGGGTGCATAACTCTGGCTCCTGCAGATTCTTTTTCCCCGTCCCTGTCCATAATAAAAGATAACATGTGCATAATAACTGTGATCAGTGGGATGTGGGTGCAATGCTCTGGCTCCTGCAGATTCTTTTTCCCCGTCCCTGTCCATGATAAAAGATAAAACGTGCATAATAACTGGGATCAGTGGATTGTGGGTGCAATGCTCTGGCTCCTGCAGATTCTTTTTCCCGTCCCTGTCCATAATAAAAGGTAAAATGGTCATATCCAGTAAAGCATCATAACTGTGATCAGTGGATTGTGGGTGCAATGCTCTGGCTCCTGCAGATTCTTCCCCCCTGTCTTTGTCCATATCTCAGTGTGCACATTCAGTAACGTGGACAGGAGGAAGAATGAATGCACTACAAGTGCGGTGACGTTGCCGCACTTTGAGAACTACAAGTCCCTGTGCATGATCATACTTGTAGTTTCTCCATTCATAGACCCTGTCAAAGGATCTGTGAATGGATGACATGGTTGAGTGGGCGCAGCCATGCACAGCTGTGCTGAATTAAAAAAGAACATCAGCCTGCAGGAAGAAGGACCCCGTTATTCATGTAAGTAAGGGGGTGGGGGGTTTGTGATCTGACCATGTTTTTTGTTACACTTTGAGTATGGGTGTAACATGAAACATGGTCCAAAAGCTAAACGTAAGCTGGTTACAAACGGATCGAATTCCACCCGATCTCTTCCACAACAGTTGATTCTTAGAATGACTTTTGCTGAAGAGACATGCTTAAAAATTGTCAGATGAGCAGTGCTTGCAGCCAATTCTTACAATGGCGGGCACCGCTGTCAGAATACACTGAGGGGAATTTATCAAAACTGGAGCAGACAAAAACTGGAGCAGCTGTGCATTACAACCAATCAGCTTCTCTCTTCAGTTTGTTCAGTTAAGATTTGAAAATGAAAGAGAGAAGCTGATTGGTTGTCGTGCACAGCTGCTCCAGTTTTGATAAATTCCATTCACTGTATACAGTGGGAGATTCCTTCATCCATGCTCTTAGCGTGAATGGAGGAATATGTCAGATTGTTCAGCCTCGTAGGTTGAACGAAAAAAAAAAAATCTCTCAGTGTGTACCCAGGTTTAGCCTTCAAACGATTTGTAGCAAACTACAATAAAAAGTGGGTAAAGTTGTTTCTTATTCCATATTACTGAACAGGAAAATCAAATTGAGGATATTGCTTAAAAAAACACCCAAAGGAAATTATAATTAAAAGCTGATAGACTAAATGATGTTCCAAAATTCGTAATGTGCATGTTATACAGTGTATATCATTGTTAATCAATGGTCTAATATTTAATATTCATTTAATCTAATATTTTTAATACTTTAAAAAAAAAAAAAGGTTTATTGCATTTTAATTGCACGAATAAGAACAGGAAGTACAGTAGGTAGATTGTGTTAGGTCTAATATAGTGTAATGGACAAAAAATACGCATTTTGTTCAGGTAAAAAAAGAAACCAAGTCATTACAATTAATTAAAAATGACAGTATCTATAATTAACTACACAACATTATTGTTAAGAATTGAGGGGGGGAAATGTAGTTACTAGTGGCAGTAGGATCACACTTAGGGTGATGGCACTCAGAAGAAGATCTGGGACACTTAGAAGAAGACCTGGGACACTTGGAAGAAGAATGGTGCACCCAGAAGAAGACCTGGGGCACGTAAACGATCTGGGGCACTCAGAAGCAGACCTGAGGCACTTAGAAAAAGACCCAGGGTACTCAGAAGAAGACCTGGGGCACTTAGAAGAAGACCTGGGGCACTCAGAAGAAGACCTGGGGCACTCAGAAGAAGACCTGGGGCACTCAGAAGAAGACCTGTGGCGCTCTGATTAAGACCTGGGACACTTAGAAGAAGAATGGGGCACTCAAAAGAAGACCTGGGGCACTTAGAAGAAGACCCGGTGTACTCAGAAGAAGACCTGGTGTACTCAGAAGAAGACCTGGGGCACTTAGAAGAAGACCTGGGGTACTCAGAAGAAGACCTGGGGCACTCAGAAGAAGACCTGGGGCACTTAGAAAAGATCTGGGGTACTCAGAAGAAGACCTGGGGCACTTAGAAGAAGACCTGAGGCATTTAGAAGATGACCTGGGATACTCAGAAGACCCAATCATGTCTCGCCTATTAGATGCCGGCAAACTACACAATTGGGCGGAGCTAGCTGACACCGCTAGCTCCGCCCAATTGTTTATGTTTTGCAGTCATCTGTCAAAATGTTATTATGTGGCGGGAGCCGGCGGGGAGATGACGGGACGGCGGTCGTCGTTTTTAATTTTTTTTATTATTTCTATTTATTTTT